ATTTTCATATATTATCTAATTATGAAATTGTATAATTAATTATATATTAAAAATGAAGCATTGAAAATTGTGAGTTTAAAAGATACTTATTCACTATAGGTAAATAAATAGATAGCTCGCCTTTTGTACAAATATTTGGTGCAATAAAGAATAAATAAATAAATAGAATGTTTCGTAGATGTGTTTTTGATTATTGTTAATTTTCACGTGTCACGTATTGAAAAGTAACATACCTACCTACAAATTTTTGAACTGAGCACCTTGTAACTTAGCCTGCTTATTACTTATGCTGGCAGACATTATCCTCGCCCCAATGATTGATGAGGATGAAAATCAATTTTATTTCTACATACGTAATTATATTTATTTATACATAAGGGTAACTTTAATAAAGGTAATACAAAAATCAACAAGAAGTATAAGGGTTCAATCTTTCAATTTCAATTGTAAAAAAACGTTACCCCCACACTAGGATTTTCTCCTGTGTCGTGGAGGCAGTTTACAAACATAAATTGAACAAGGACAAACATCCAGACCCGGAACAATTATTTGTAGGCCATACAAATACTTGTTCCGTGCGAGATTCGAACTCGCGGCCCCCAGCGCAACAACCGATTGCTAAGCTACTGCGCCACGGAGCCGTCGCCGGGTTATAGCTAAAGTGACCATACGTCCCGTTTTGAACGGGACTGTCCCTTTTCTCGGTCACCTGTCCCATTGTCCCCAAACAAAGCTCCGGGACACAAAATTGTACCGTAACTCGTTGGATGGAAGTATTCAAAATCAACAATCTTCAACATAATTTTTTTTAATCGAATATATTTTGTCTACCTGGTATGAATGCTCCGGTAGAAAGAGTATTTTTTGGACGTCTGAAAGAAACACTTACGGTTCCAGAGTTCTAAAGGCGATGTTGTTAACAAAGATAACAATAAAAAAGACTTGAGCAGAATTTTATTTTTATTTAAAATCATCACCAACTTTATTAAAGCAAATTTAATCCACTGACAAATGTAATTAATAATTTAAAAAAAATATGTTGCATTTAATAATTACCGTCTATACCGAATATAATTTTATAGTGAACACTAATTGTATAAAGTTATAGTTTTTAGAGTATGAATAAACCCATGTCCTGTTTTGAGTTAAAAAATAAATGGTCAGTTTAGTCTTTTTAGTTAAATTTAGTTTTAAAAACTTTTAGTTAATAGTAAAAAGTAGGTATATTAGTACCTACTTAGATACTTTTTACCGAATTATACGTATAGAACACCTTATGTACGCATTGAAAAAGAAGAAAAAACAAGCAGTAAATAATATACTATATTTTAGCAAAAAACTATAACTTAGTAATACTAATTATAACTTAGAACATAAATGAAAAACTCATAACTGACTTTTTGGCCCGACCCAGAATTCGAACCCGGGACCTCATGATCAGAAGTCGCACTACTACAACCACTAGACCAACGAGGCAGTACTATACATAATAGGATATTGTGGTTGGGTGATAATATTGAATTAGCCTTTTATAGTGTAAATTATAATATTTGTCGAAATTTTAATTATGGATTCGAACCTTACATGCTAATGGTGCTTCATTTTTTTATTTGCATTTACTTCAAAGAAAATACACGCAAAAAGGTTCATCGCGCAGTAAAAAACACAACAAATATATGTATAACTAATACGAAAAATTATACCCAAAACAAACAAATAATACTACCTATAAATAACCTAATAAGTAATATTATTATCTATATAATATAGTAATATATAACAGCTTACAATCATGATGTTACACAAATTAACAACACAACAAATTAGAAATAGCTTGGTAGCGATCACCTCATTTCCAGGGGTTATTATCATCCATAAATTCCACTAAACAATAAAACTTTGAGCAGGTCAAACTTTGTATATTTTCTGGAATTTTGTTGTAAAAGCGTATACATCGCCCCAAGAATGAATTACTGACTCGATGGAGTCGAGTAACTGGTACTACTAGCTTGTGTCTGTTCCTAGTATTTACAGAATGAATATCACTTATTTTTGTAAAACTACTTTTATTTTTGTGTACGTACATTACATTTTCATAAATGTATTGAGAGGCCAAAGTTAATATATTAATTTCCTTAAATTTTTGTCGCAGCGACTCTTTAGGCTTTAAATCATAAATTGCTCTTATGGCCCTCTTCTGTAAAACAAATATAATTTCAGTGTCAGCTGCGTGTCCCCATAGCAAAATACCATACGACATTATGCTATGGAAATAGCTAAAGTAAACTAGTCTAGCTGTTTCAACACTAGTTAGACTTCTAATCTTTTTTACAGCATATGCTGCGGAACTAAGTCTGCTTGCTAGTTTTGATATATGGGGGCTCCATTGAAGCTTCGCGTCTAGTGTGATTCCAAGAAAAATAGTGGTATCTACAAGACTCAGTTTCTCCCCATTTAAAATTACATTAGTATTTAATTGTTTGACATTTGGAGTCACGAATTTCATACATTTCGTTTTAGTGCCATTTAAATGCAAATTATTAACATCGAACCAATTTACTAATTTAGATATAGCATTATTTACTTCGTCATATTTTAGTAATTGTCGACTTAATTTGAAAATTAAAGAAGTGTCATCTGCAAATAATACTATATCATGTACTACTATGTAAGGTAAGTCATTAATGTATACAAGAAACAGAAAGGGGCCGAGAATTGAGCCTTGAGGCACGCCCATTTGTACCATCGATCCGGAAGAGTTCATATTGTTAATGACAACTTTTTGCGTTCTCTTACTTAAATATGAAATAATTAATCTAAGAGCATCACTTCTTACACCGTAGTGTTGAAGTTTCCCGATTAATGTTTCATGGTGAACACAATCGAAGGCCTTGGATAGGTCACAAAATATACCCAAAGCATCCTGTGAATTCTCCCATGCATTAAATATATATTTAATCAGCTCAACACCGGCATCAGTTTTCGAGCGATCCCTTGTGAAACCAAATTGATTTTTATGGAGTAAATTATTTATATTAAATAAAATTTAACATTTGATCAAGAACAATTTTTTCAAAAATCTTACTAAGTGTTGGTAGTACAGAAATAGGTCTAAAATTGGCGGGGTCCAATGTACTACCAGATTTAAATAAAGGTATTACTTTACTATGCTTCATTAAATCAGGAAACACACCAGATTCGATACTAGTATTATAAATAATAGCTAAATGAGGCGCGATTGTATCTATTATAGACGCAATAACTTTAACGGAAATCCCCCACAGATCCGCAGTTTTCTTAACATCAATAGTTTTAAAATATTTTAGAATATCTTTTGATGACACTTTATGAAATGTAAAATTCTTTGTACACACATTTACATTTTGTTTAAGTAATGATTCGGCGATGGCAGGAGAAGAATTCAGTGACTTAGTGGTCAAGATCGGAATATCAGTAAAATATTTCTCAAAAACCATTGCTACGTCCTGATCTGATACAGTTAATTTGTTGTTAACACTTAACTGGTAATTTGAATTGCGAGAGTTGATCTTACCAGTTTCGCTATTAATTATACTCCATGTTTGTTAATTTTATTGGAAGCCGTCTTAATTTTGTTGCTCAAATGCAAAGACTTGGCTATGGAGCACACACTTTTAAATATTTTTGAATATTTTTTTACATATTCCCTAAATTGGACGCTATGATTATATGAATTTTTATGGTAAAGATTAATTATGTGAGGTGTTTCGTTCGAAGAGATTAGCATCCCCCCCGCCCTGTTTATTTTTAACCCTCATATTGTGAAATATCATGTTATGTCTCCACTCTGAACTAAATGATGAATCGAGCACAGTGCAACCATGAAGTGATATTAATCTACCGTCTTGTTTTATTTTTACTTTTAACTAAGTGCGTAGATGGCGACATTGTATGTGAGACTATAACCTATGCCTGCTCTTATGGACTCCTACTGTCGCCCATTCATTGAATGACTTCCAACTGTTCAAGGAGAATGTTTTAGAAGTAAAAGTATTATTAAATTCATTGCAAATAAGCTTAAATAATGTTCCATACAAAAAATTAGGATCATTTTGGTATGAAAGTGATGGAAGTTTTTTCACTATGTTACTTCTAAATTTCTCCAAGCGACGTGCATTTACTGGGACAGACACAACTTTCTCATCTACTTGCTTTTTGTGAACATAAGGTAACGAAACTACTTGTCCACAGTGATCAGAACTTAATTTTTGAATTATACATTTATGCAACGGCTTCACATTTGTAAAAATGTTATCTATACATGTTGCACTAGATTGAGAAATACGCGTTGGCTCTATAAATAAATTAAAAAGACCATATGATTTAAACAATGATCTAAATTTAATATTGATTGAGGAAGCTCCTAGGAGATTGATATTAAAGTCTCCACATATTACAACAGATTTATTCTGTTTATTAAGCTTAGCAAAATTTTTGTAAACCTAAACTGCCGCCAGATGAATATTAACTCTATCAGTTGACATACATGTTTCATATACCGGAGATTTTGATATGAATGGGCAGCTTAAATGCTTTGTTAAAGGTATTTAAAGCATTGAAAAACAAAGATAATCTTAATTTTATATTAATAAAACAACAGTCATTACAAAGCTTACTTACAATCACTTTTTAGATACTCAGGAAAATAAAAATAATAACAAAACTTGTTTACAATTATTACTATTAGTTTTCTTTAGACTTGATACAGCATTTCTGACAGTAATTTTCAAAACAGGTGTAATCTTCGTGCACCCAGAATCGGCAGGTGCAACACTGAATCCGGTCTTCTGTGCTGGAAGTAGTGAAATAATTTTCACCGCAACCCACACAATTATTTTCCTCTTGATCGTCATCACATGATTCGTCATTTTCTAAGATAACATCAGTTTCATCCTCAGAACTACTGCTTTCTCTCTCAACTTTTTTCTTAAAAACACGCTTCTTGACAGATTTGTTTTTTTTTATTTACTTCTTTTTTTAGCAGCTAAAAGCTCCAATTCCTCTTTTTCAGGAGTATCGGTTAAGACTCTTGTCTTACCATTTCTATTTCTAGTAGTATTATTCATACGTGGTGGGGCCTTTGGAAAAGGACGAATGGCTTCAGGTGACATAAGGATATTTTTGTCTGTGTCTATAGTACCAGTGGATGTAGATGGTGCTGGAGATTCTATTGCTACTTGGTTATTGTCATATTGTTGTTCAATATTTGCATATTGTGATGGTCCAGGTAGAGCAATATTTGGTTGTATTTCAGCCACATCCAATCTGGTGTGCGTAACGGTATTAGCATCTACATAAGGCCTATTAGTAACATATGAGCTCAGGAACTCATCTTCGCCAAAAATATTATCATTAAATGGCCATATTCCTGCAACTTTAAATCCATTTTGAATGTTGGATGGCGTAAAAGCTAATGGAAAAGCAGTGCCAAAGCATTCGGCGACATTACATATAGTGAGAGGAGTTCCAGGATGTTGCAAGAGCCAATCGTTGCAAGCTTTGTTATAATATTTCTTGAGTGGACCAAATACGGTTCTGTCTAAAGGCTGTAACTTGTGGCTGGTGTGAGGAAGAAATGTGAACATTACAATACCATTATTCTTGGCCAACTCTATGATTTTAATCGAAATGTGACTCTCGTGATTGTCCAATATCAGGAGCACTTTATTATCATTATTAGGTCTAACATGTTTAATGAAATGGTTCAAAAAATCCTCAAGTTTATCACCATTGGACCACCCACTGGGAGTTGCAAGCCTCAAAGTCTCAGGAGGAGCACCATTAATCATGTGGCTCTTAAAGTGCACTCTAGGAAAAATCATGCAAGGAGGAACCGAATTCCCAAGTGCATTCACGCATGCAATAACAGTGACATTATTACCTCTCTCTGCTGATGTAATATTCCCAACTTGTTTTACTCCTTTTGACGCTAAAACTTTCATTGGATTGTCTACTGTAGACATGCCAGATTCATCTACATTATAGATCCTTTCGCTTGTAAAATTGTATTTCAACAGCAGTTCCTTGTATTTATTAAAAAACAAATTTACATTCACCTTATTAAAAGAAGTAGCACGTGCTAAACTCGTTGCTTCTGGTTTTCGCAAGCTTAAATTTTGATGCCTTTTAATAAAATATTCATAAAATGTCTTACCAGCTTTTTTATTTGTGTCCCAAGCACTTGGATAAGTTTTTTTCAAAATTACTGCATATTCGAATGTTAATTTTAAAAAGTCATCTTTGCATATTCCGTAGTGTAACTTGGATGCCTTTAAGGAATATTCAACCAATTGCTCTTCTTCTTCATCACTAAACACTCTCTTGACAGCATTCAGAGGGTGATAGACGACCTCAACATTTTCTTTTTCTTTGTTCAACTTCACGTAACGGCCTATTAAAGATTTTGAGACATGAAATTCTTTTGCAGCTTTCCGAATAGATAAACGTTTTTCAATTACCATTTTAATTGCACTTTTTACATTTTGCTCACTTGGTTTCGGCCGTATGACTTTATCTTTACTTCGCGACATCTAAAAACATAAAAACAAAAAATAAAAATATAATATTAAAATAAATAGTTGAAAAAAGCATTGGCTTGTACCTTGGGACTGTCCCAATTCACTGTCCCAAGGTACAAATTTCAATTATAGAATACAAAGTGTGGTTATAATTTTTGAATTACGGAAATCTAGGAAATTATATTAAAATAAGTGATTAAGAATATAGATAACAACTAATTGTATCATAATTAAATTACTCACCTCAAAATATTTCGTCTAAAGCAAAGATTCAAGTGGATTGCAAAAAAAAATCTGACGAAAAAATCACACTGCATACCACATCTAAGGAACGAAGCGAAATGGCCGATTTTACTGCAGGCTTTCTGAATGCTGTAATGAAATAACTACAAGATGTCACTACTTACCATTTCTCAATGTAAAATATCTGACGCAATGAGCTTGTCCCGAGGTACAAGGTGTACCAAGGTACAAGGATCTCCCCTACTTTTAAAAAAAGTCCTGCTGGATTTTTTTCGCGTTCTTCGCAGGACAGAGGATTTTTTTTCGAACCAGTGGTAAAGTAAAAAAAAACTTTCAATAAGAATTACATGTTATCTATATTGAATAAAAAAGAATCTATTCTATCATGAGTATAGAGAACCGGACTTTTTTACTGTAAATGAGGCATTCCATCTTAGTTCTCAGGGATATCAACACATCTGCATTTTGATTGTTAACTGAGGATAGCTAACCGCAGTTAGTGTCGGTAAGGAGCACATCATCATTCCCTTTTCTATAAATAGAGAAAAAAATTATAAAGTAAGAATCAAAATTAAATAAAACTACATGAAATTTGATTTATTTCTTTTTATTAAAAGTAATAAAGTATTTAGCCCATGTCATAATGATAAACTTTATGCCATCACAGTATAACAAAAAAGTTAATTACTTGTAAACATTTACACATTTTGTTATTCGTAATCATTTAAAGAAAATTATATGACAATAATTAAAATAAGGTAGGTGACATCATAAATTATAATACTTAAATATAAAGCTAGAAGAACCAGGTCCATTAATGTAAAGCTTATTTTATTATATAAAAATTTACACATTTTCATTCTCTCTCTTTCTCTCTCTCTCTCTCTCTCTCTCTGTCTCTCCCTCTCTATCTGTCTTCCTTAGTTCCTCTCCCTCTCTCTCCTTCTTTCTCTCTGCTTCGACCACAAGGGTATTACACTCAATTATTTTATTTTCAAATAGTGTTTTGAATGAATCCTAGAGTGATAATGAACCACTATAATTTTTATATATTTTGTTAAGACCGAATAGTGCTATAAAAAAATATTTTAATCTATCACGCGAAACGCCATGCTGTTCTCTATCAATGATTTCAAAATGTCATAAAGATTATTGCATGTTTTAGCTGGAAAATGACATGGATTATTACACACAATATAACATTGTGGGTTTTTTTAAAGCGAATTAAAATGAAACTGAACTGCACACCATCTAGATTCGATTGCCAGGTAGATAGAAAACGTAAGTTCACTCCAAACAAACCTCGGCATGTCTCAACAAAGAATGTCTACTATTAAGGAGATTAAAGAGACCATGGAAAATGAGGAGAATTTTGTTAAATAGTTGCCATCTTTTAGTTATTTCATTGATTTTATTTATAGTTTATGCTGATATCAATAAATTATCAATGTTTCCGTCAGGATGAATATTAAATTAACGTTATTGTAGTAATACTTCCAGATTTTCTAATTCTGACCAGCCCAGGAACATAAATCCATTCAAGTCCATCGGATGATACACTACCGAACTAAATATGTACAGAGTAGTATAAGAAATAAAGACAGCATGACTTCACCTTTCAAGGCAACTGCACCTAAATATACTGCAAAAACAAATACGAGAGTGATGAGTAGGCTTGCCAACTCCAAAAAAGGCATTTCCGGGATTACCCTGCTCAACATCCGGGACTTGGGTATATTACGCGGGACACAACACACCACATACAAATTGGTTAGAAAAAAACACATTGGTTATAAAATTCACTGCATTTTTGATCAAAATTAATGTTAATTTGTAGTTCAGCCTTGACGTGGTCAACAAACAGCTTATTTCTGCTGTCTGTCCATGCATTTCCACAGAGAGAAATCACTCTCTCTGCTGATGCATTTGAAAGTGGTACTGAAGCTACGGCTAAGGTGTAGTTGGTACGAGATAGATACTAATATCATATAATCACTGATTTCCGGGACAAAAGGCGTCCCGTAAGGCGTTTCGGCGGGACGGTCCAAAATTGACTCAGAAGCGGGACGTCCCGGAAAATCTGGGACGGTTGGCAAGCCTAGTGATGAGACATACACTCCATCGATAAAAAATTTGCCACCATCAATCTGTTCATCCTTGGTATATTAGTACTTTTTCTGCTTTTACGAATTCGTCTTCCGTGATACCATTTCAATAAAATACGTAATAAAAGTCAACAATCGTGATAACATATTCTTTTTAAATAACACACAACACATTAAAGTGATTATAGTTTACTATCGAAGTGACGTCACGATGGAATCTAATATGGCGGATTGCATTTAGGACATTTGAAGCACATGCTAAAAAATATTCTTAAAATTGAATTATATATTTTTTTAATAGAAATCAACATTTTTCGGTTACTTTTTACAAAACCTATCATAAATACACATTTTTTATATTTTTTACATGGTGCAATATACCTTATTTGAAATGTTCTTCCTCTATCGCTACTATAAACTCGTAAGGTAATGTTTTAGTAGATTATTAATATTAACTTAAAGATATTCACGCTCTATATACTGTAACAAAATTTATTATATTATAGTGTATAGATAGTGAATTATTATACTACTTTGCTATGCATCTATATTTACAAATATTTTAATTATATACCTCATACATCGTTTACGCTTGTGTCATCTCTAAAATTACTTTAAATATGTGAGTAGGCACTTAATAGTATCTTACATTAACCGTTGATTGTATCGAAATAAAATGACTTTTAGCGCCACTTGACTAAATTTAAACGTCTAGGCGCCTTTTAACTCGATTGTATCTAAACAGTTAAGCTTGACATTCAATGAGGGCTAATAATCTTACGTTCACCAGATGTCGCTAGTTGAGACTGAGGTAAACTTATTTGTTAGTCATCTACCATACAGTGTCATCACTTCATCATTAAAAAGTTACGATTTAATTATAATTTTTGGGTTTCTAGTGTAAGTATGATAATAAATAAAAAAATGTCTCTCTGATTTTTTTTACATGGATTACCTTTTTTAATTCTTCTACTTTTAGGAATATCGGTAGTTTGCTTTATTAATTTCTAATCCAATTCATTTAAAATATAAGTAATATTACAGAAAGTTACATTAATCTCTATACATTTCTTCCGCCGCTGTGAAATTTGTCAAATATTTCACCTTATTCCTAAATGGTGCCACCCTGAAGGTAGAAAAAGTCGTGGATGTCCTCATTGAATGCTGACGATAAGGAATAATCGCCAATTAGTCGCTCGATTTAAGCATTGCACTGCGACATACTAAGCACCATATTTTTCTTCTTTAATATATAATCGTGTAGTTGCTTGAAATCATTGAGGTAATATGTCCTACGTACTAGAAGAGACGCCGAGACTTGGTCGTTTGCAACACGCGTACTCTACTACGCGTTCTCACTAGATCCTCTGTGGCTCGCACTGCCGCTCAGATTCTGTTCAGTGTCTGTTCTTGTACGTAGTACATGTTACTTTAATGGTTGAAATCATAATTACAAAAGTGTGAAGCGTTTAAGTTTCATGACTTGTGGGGTGTCCATCAGTGGGGGCGCTTGACGGGGAGAGCGTGTTGGCGCGTGTGCTGGTGCGAGTGCTGGCGCGTGTGTCGGCGTGTGCAGGTGCGCAGGCGGTGGCGGGCGAGCCACAGCGCGGCGGCCAGCGCGGCCAGCAGCAGCGCCGCGGCCGCCGCGGCCGCCGCCACGCCGCGCATGCGCGCGTACTGCGGCACGCGCACCGCCGCGCCGCCGCGCACCCCGCTCACGCACTGCACGCGCGCCTCATACTCTACGCCCTCCTCCACCGAGCCCACTGCAAAATACGACATCCCTTTAACATTTAAACATGGCCGTTTTACCGATAAGCATATAATGTAACGACACTTTTCACCTTCACTTTTATCAGTAGTTTAACAAATTATATTTAAAAAGCGGTAACGTCAATTGCTTATTCCTAAATTAAACTGCATTTTGTATTACTCTCACATAACTTTGTCGTTCATTTTAAGCCATTATTCACATCTCTATTAACATTAACATGTATGTCCCGGATCAATAACCAGGGAGACGGCGACGTTCAGAATTGCGGACCGTGCCGAACGGAAAGACAAACTTAATGCGTAAGGCGCCCCTGACACTTGCTCTCTACACTCTTAATCTGACAGCCAGAGAAATAGACTTGTTTTGTTGTCCCCTGAGTTCTCAACATAATTTGTTATGCGCCTAATTTAAAAATACAAATGCCTATGTTATAGCATATAGAATAGTTACACTATCGTATTAGGATACCCCATAAAGATATTTGTAAAGGCGCGTCTCCGCCAAAAATGTTGACAACATTTATGTTTCCAACTGTTGACAAATCAACAAAAGTTGACGACATTTGTTTCAAAATGTTGCAAAAAGCGCTCCACCGAGGGAACAAATGTCGGCAACAAGCGTATTCCTTTGATGTTGCCGCCGAAAATGGAAACACGATTCCCGACATTGTTTCGTTTTGTTGCTAAAATTAGGTGATTACAGAAACATTTGTCGGCAACACGTGTTGACAAATGTTGTGTGACAACAAAACTTTGGTGAAGACGCGCCATCAGTGTTGAAATAAATAAATCCTCTCGCTTTATTTTGTCTCTCGTAAGCTGGAGCGCACTACGAATTATTCGCCGCATGCCTGTAAAACTGCATTGTAACCATAGATTTAGTATAAACTAACGTATATCTATAATTGTAACACAGTGCTTGACCAAACTACAAACGCGGCGCGACGTTCTCAAATGATTGAGTACAATATTGAGTGCCCGTAGATCTCTGATGTCTGTATTTCAGCCAATAATTTGAACTTTAACTATTGGGCTACTTTAGGTATTCATAAAAATAAGGACAAGTCTTTCGAATTGTATCAGAAAAAGGCATACCTACCTTCGTCTCAATTTAAATAATACCTAAGTTAAAATTATGCAAAAACATTTAGTAAGGTATGTCGGATAGCTAAATCAAATTCATAATCCGTAAAATACAATCTGTTGAAAGCAGTTTGGAAAGTTGTATATAAAAAACGAATAAAGTAATTTAATTACCGATTACTAAAAAAGTGAAGTTATTGTGTGCACTCCCGCGAAGGTTTTTGACAAAGAAAAGGTATTGCAACGCGTGCCGGTTAACAGCTAGTTACATATAAAAATATGACACATTAATGGAGTATTTCTCCGAAGGTTTTAAATTTGATAATTTACATTCTGTTATAACACATTCTGTGTGTATCATACTTGGCAATAATATTGTTGCGCGCCACTATTAATGTCTTGTACATGGCAACACTAGTTACACTGGCGCTTTCTAGTATCGAGTAGCAGAACTAGGAGAGTCAAGATCCTTCCAGAAATTTCGGGACCGATATGTACTCGAACATTCTAGATGTCGCTACAGTAGAAGGTTCTGGAAACTAGCTGAGGCCCTATATAAGGCCGGTATAGACCACGACGCAGGCAGTATTGAATTGGCGATACAAGAGAATACTTCGAAGCGAAATGACTGCGAACTAAAGTGATTGTGCTTTATTATTAGTGTGATTTTAAGTTGTAATTAGTGTTGTGTAATTAAATAGTCAATTTTGGTAATTCACTCGGTAGTTTTTAATTATCTCGAACCTCAAGCTCGTAACAATATTTAATGCATGTTGTGTTGAAAAAGGTATATATCCTGATTTAATGAAAGTAAGCACAGTAACATGATTCCACTTTTTAAGTCTGGTGACTGTAATGACCCCAGCTATTTATAGACCTTTTAAAACATTAAAAAAGTTAAAATTGAAAGTGATAAAATCTGTAAAGTTAATTTTATTTAATGTGTAGTATTCGCGTAAATATAAGAAATAATTACTCCAAGGTTATCAGTATGGTTTTACCAAACGGCGCTCCACTTGATGCGTGTTGGATTTATATTTATAGTGCTTGAGAGGATTCACAGAATGCGATTGGAGTATTCTGTTATTTTCATATCTTAAACATTAAACCACACAACATTACTTTATAAATAATACGGTATAAATGAACAAGCGTTTCCTTTGTTGCAGTCCTATCTTAGTAATAGGGTTCAAAAGGTTCAGATAAATGGCCTGGTAAGACTTGCAGGAAGTCGATGGATGCAGGTGGCTCAGGACCGTGCTTTGTGGCATTCCTTGGGGGAGGCCTATGTTCAGCAGTGAACTTGTGAAGGGCTGTAATGATGATGATGATGAAATGGCGTAAATTCTGTTTGGTTCTTTTGTATAAATAGGCCTACCATAAGGGTCTATTCTTGGGTCATTTTTATTTTCTGCCAATAGTAGAGACCTAAACCTGCTGAAATAGTAGAGAGCGGAACCTCGAATTAAGCCTTTTCTACCGACTTCAAAAAGGAGAACGTACTCAATTCCACTGTATGTTTTTTTTATGTGTGTTACCTCATAACTTTCTTCTGGATGAACTAATTTAGATGATTCTTTTTTATTTGAAATCTGGTGCTTTTCTTGTGGTCCCATATAAATTTGTTCAAGTTCTGAACGGAGGCCCAATTCCCCCCCCCCCCCATCAACATGGTAGTGGAATTAAATAAAAGACTACCCCAGGAGGGTACCAGCACCCCTGGAGAATCCCTCGCTGAGCATCCACGACCAAACTACTTCACTCCTGAGCGTGGGTGCTCAGGCTGCCCCGCGTATTCTGGTGGGGGCAAAATTCCGCTCAAAAACATAACTGCTCGGGGCAAACTGAGCAACAAGACCAAGGCGACCCCTGCCACGCTATCCGTGAATTTCTACAACATCAGGGGACTTCACTCGAACCAAAACGCCGTCCACTACCATCTCGAGACGGCGAAGCCGGCCTTGCTCTTTCTGACCGAGACGCAGGTTTCCTCTCCGGCTGATATTTCGTATCTTTCCTACCCGGGGTACAAATTGGAGCACTCCTTTGTGCCTCGGGCTGGAGTTTGCGTGTATGTCAGAGAGGACATCTGTTCTCGATGCCTCGGCAGTCTTGAAGGTTCGGACCTGTCCATCCTATGGCTACGCGTAGACAGCGACGACCATCCGCGCGTCTACGGGTGCCTCTATAGGTCCCATAGCGGTAATGCCGAAACAGACCGACTCATTGACCACGTCCAAATGGCTACAGATTCTTTGCTACAACAGGTCCCATCCGCAGAGATCGTGATCCTTGGCGATTTTAACGCCCACCATGCCGAATGGCTCGGTTCACGTTTAACCGATCATGCGGGGAGATCTGTTTATGACTTTGCTTTGGCATATGGTCTGACACAACTGGTTACTTCGCCTACGCGGATTCCAGATGTGGAGGATCATACACCTTCCCTGTTGGACCTTCTGCTGACCTCTCATCCGGACGGATATCAGGTTTCCGTCGATGCCCCTCTTGGCTCTTCGGACCATTGTCTGATCCGGAGTGTGGTGCCACTCACGCTCCCCTCGCGGTTGCGTTCTGCAGGTTGCCGCCGTGTTTGGCATTACAGGTCGGCGGATTGGGACGGAATGCGGTCTTTCTTTGCATCCTACCCATGGGGGCTGGTTTGCTTCTCGCCGGATGATCCCAGCGCTGTTGCTGACTCTGTCACTGATGTGGTGCTACAGGGAATGGAACTATTTATTCCATCATCTGTGGTACCCATCGGAGGCAGTTTTCAGCCTTGGTTTGGTCGCTCCTGTAAGACTGCATTACGCAGTAAGCAGGAGTGTTATCAAGCCTGGGTTGCGGCTTCGGCGACTCGGGATGTAAACACCAGCACACTTAAAAAGAAGTATAACTTCGCCTCCAGGTTCTTCAAAAGAGTTATTACCAAGGCAAAGTCAGAGCACATAAGCAGACTTGGCGAGAAACTAGTTCGCTTTCCTTCGGGAACCCGTGCATTCTGGTCTCTCGCCATGGCTGTCCAAGGGAATTTCTGTAAGCCATCACTACCATCTCTGCACAGGGAGGACGACTCACTGGCCCAAGACGCAAAAGACAAAGCCGACCTTTTAGGCTCCCTTTTTGCGTCCAACTCGACTCTTGATGACGGGGGGGAAACACCGCCGATCATCCCGCGGTGTGAGTGCTCCATGCCGGATGTGCTGTTCTCACAGCGCTCGGTTCGCAAACCACTCCTCTCCCTGGACATCCAGAAGTCGAGTGGGCCTGAAGGAATCCCCCCAATTGTGCTAAGGAAGTGTGCTCCGGAGTTGGCACCGGTCCTAACTCGTCTTTTCCGGTACTCCTACTCCCAAGGCGTAGTCCTGAATTCATGAAAGACAGCTTTTGTCCACCCGATCCCTAAAAAAGGCGACCGCTCAGACCCGTCCAACTACAGTCCTATTGCCATCATCCCCTTGTTCTCCAAAATAATGGAATCCGTTATAAACTGCCACCTCATGCGGTACCTTGAGGATCACCAGCTGATTAGTGACCGCCAGTACGGTTTTCGTCGGGGTCGATCAGCTGGTGATCTTCTGGTATACTTAACTCATAGATGGGTGGAGGCAGTAGAGTCCAAGGGGGAGGCATTGGCCGTTAGTTTGGACATTGCGAAGGCCTTCGATCGGGTTTGGCACAAAGCACTTCTTTCGAAGCTCCCTTCCTATGGGCTTCCCGAGAAATTGTGCGATTGGATCACCAGCAGGAAGCTGCAGATCGGAGCATCAAGGTCGTTGTAGACGGTGCATGCTCCGACTACAAGCCTATTAACGCTGGTGTTCCACAAGGCTGTGTGCTATCACCAACGCTGTTTCTTCTGCATATCAATGATATGTTGCTAACTGGTAACATTCATTGCTATGCGGAT